AATAGATACCTTTGATTAATTTTTTGCCCATGGCTATGCCATAAATTTGCAACTATCATCGATACTTCTACATTATTAATGTTCAAACTGATAAGGGTATGCAATTGGACTGATGCTTTCTGTGGTAATATGCTTTTAAACATATGGTGGTATTGCAGATAACATAAAAAACCATAGATTCCTTGCTTAATGCAGATAACATAAAAAACCATAGATTCCTTGCTTAATGTATTGGCATTAATATTGGAAGTTCCATGTGTTGTAATTCAACATTGGCTGATTGTAAGTTTTGCTTAAAAGTTATTCTGTTGTTAGCTTTAATGGTGAATTCTTTGTCAAAAATAAGCTTATGCCTTTTTAATAACATATATGTTCCTTTGCTTGCAGGTGGAATTTTTTGACAGATACAAGGTATGCATGTCAAGTTACTTATGCTGGTTTTACTTTTTACGGTTATGAATCAATGAGACATTTGAGAAATGGAAAGGTGTCTGGGTTACATTTTTCTTGTATTTTTATGTGATTTTTTGTGTAAAGTACTTTATTCTGATTTTGTCTTTCTTTCAGTTGTCCTGTCCTCTTTCTGATCTCTTAATCTCTTTCACTAATTTCACCAATTTTTCTGGTCTATTTTATCAATGTGATTATATATCTTCGGACATATTTTAAACACTTGAAACTCATTTTATTTCATGTGTTTGGTTTAGTAAACTGAGAGCAGTTGAACAAGCTTTTTCATTTTCTTGGCTCTGCTCTGTATAGGTTGGTGAACTCACTGGATTGCTAACATCCGATCTGGGTTCTCTTAAAGATATTGTGAGTGAAAATGTTGCAAGGGATCGTGGATTCAGGGCATTATCTGAGGCAAGCATTTCTACCCCAATCAGAAGTGAGCTTTATTTTTCCTATATTTAAGCATGTGCGTGATTTCTTTTGACTGAGCTGCAGTTGACTTTCCTTCATTTCAAAAAGCATGTAAATGTTTTATTTGACCATAATTAGATGTTTCTATATGAATGAACTGCTATCCGAGATAACCTCAGTTTTTGTCATTACTACTTTACTCGTGCACCTGTGTTTTGGTGAAGACTCTTGCTTTGTTTTCCATGTTGCTGCTCACTTTCTTCTGTTTCCATTGCTTTTTCTCTTTTCTTTGTTGTTACAGGTTATTGGGACAATATGCATACTTTTTGCTTTATCTCCTCAACTTGCTCCAGTTTTGGGTATCCTAGTGCTCACAGTTTCTGTTTCAGTCGGTAATCCTCCCACGTCCACCTATTTTTTTAAATGATATCTGCTTAAGGTCTGGCTATTCCAGGCTAACATTTTATGTTGTGTTGGTTTTATCTCTAAGTGCGGAAGTAGTAGAGAATAATAACTCATCTTTTCCATCTTTCTTAAATTTTAAGAGAGCATTGCAAGTAGCTTAATTATGCAGGCCTGACAAATCTGATGTAGCTCAAATTCATAATGCCTCATAACATGTAATACTTTTGGTTCATGCTGATGGTTATTTTTCTTGCTTTCTTCTCTGCTTGCTGACTCCTTTTAGTGTTTTCAAGCTGTCTACAAGAGATCAACTCTGCCAGTTTTTAAAGCACATGGGTTGGTTCAAGCATCCATATCTGACTGTGTGGCAGAAACATTTTCTGCTATCCGTACAGTGAGTTTCCAATAGTTCAGATTTGTGTGATAAAACCTTTGTCTTGTGGAGTACTGCTTTGTTGAAGGCCATGATTTGTTATTGATGGCTTAAACAATGTCATATATGATTACAGGTGAGATCCTTTGGTGGAGAGAAACGCCAAATGTTCACATTTGCTAACCAGGTAAGGCTATTCATCGCATTGACTAATCTCTATTGTCAAGAAGATATGACGACTCTAGAATTCCTTTTGGGAAAAACTAAATAAAAACAAATTATGGGGTGGCTACAGGTTCTTTCATACCAATCAAGCGGGATAAAGCTTGCCACTTTTAAATCTCTAAATGAGTCCATGACTAGAGTTGCTGTATATGTTTCTTTGCTAGCATTATATATCCTTGGAGGAAACAAAGTTAAAGCGGTGAGTTACTCTGGCTTTCTCTCAGCTATATATGATGATTTGAAGTAAACTTTTTCTACTGTAATTAATCTTGCTGGTAATAATCACGTTTTCTATAGAAAGAAAATTGTTATTCATGCACTAACCCTTGACAATGTTATGCTGGTTTTTCTCATTTATTTTTTATTTTCCTAATTTTTATTGCAATTCTCACATTAAAATTATGAATTTTTTTTGGTAAATTGATTGATTGATTAATTTTTGTATATTTCTTTAATTATTCCTTACAGGGTGAACTCTCTGTTGGAACTGTGGCGTCTTTCATTGGATACACTTTCACATTAACTTTTGCTGTAAGAAGATTTGACTTGCTGCATTTCTTTATCTCTCAATCCTCTCTTTGCTGCCTGATATTATGTCTTTCAGGTTCAAGGAATGGTTAATACTTTTGGAGATTTGCGTGGAGCTATTGCTGCAGTTGAGAGGATCAACTATGTTTTCTCTGAGGTTCAAATTGATGATGCCCTTGCTTATGGCTTAGAAAGAGAACTGAAACAGAAAGAATTAAATGATGATAACTATAAACTGTTCTTCTCTGATAATTTTACTGAGAAAAACCAACGAAAATACTTGCATTACATGTCAGCATTGAAATCATCAAGCCATTTGTACAACTTAGCTTGGTCTGGAGATGTTTGTCTTGAAGGTACTTTTCTTGCAATAATGTGTCTAACTTTGTAGTTGCTTTGCTTTCAACGTATCACTCTTAAATATTAGTAAACATGGCCATATTATTCATTATATAACCCTGTTTACCAATGTTCATGTGATGGGAGCTCTGTCCATCCTTTGTCCTTTTCTTACCTTCCTCTATTTTCTCCTTTTTTTCAGATGAACTTCCAAATTGTTGTGACTATGCATATGAATCATCTGTTTGAGGGATTTTTTGTTATGGTTACTTCATGCTACTCACGATGTTAAAACTTGGTAAAAACATACTTTTAGGGCCTCGAACTCAAGGAAGGACTTTAAAATCCATATTCTTTTCTAATTTTTTTTTCTATACCCTGATTTGAGATGCTTGAGCTTCTCCTTCGGTTTCTCTCTTTCTCTCTCTCCCTAATTCTTACACCTCGTACTTTAAGTTTGAGAATGAGTTTTATAAACTATATGCAAGTTAATTATCTTTTTTTTTTTTTTTTTTTGGGGCCAACGTGCAAGTTGATTATCATAGTGATATAATACAGCTTATTTACATTTTCAATGTAATTTGCTCTATAATGGAATTAATATGCTGATATTTTTTTTTTTTTTCCTGCAGATGTATATTTCTCTTATCCTTTAAGGCCAGATGTGGAGATCTTAAGTGGGTTAAATTTGACACTAAAATGTGGTACTATAACTGCATTGGTGGGTCCTAGTGGTGCAGGAAAAAGTACAGTAGTACAGCTATTGGCTCGGTTTTATGAGGTTTAATTCCTGTTTCTTTAGTTTGTGAACTGAGGCTTGATTTACTTCATTTTCCCCAAAAGAAATACATGCATCAACTGATGTTTTGTTCCTGTAGCCAACAAGAGGTCATATAACAGTTGCTGGAGAGGACGTTCTAACACTTGACAAGAGCGAATGGGCTCGAGCTGTCTCTATTGTAAATCAAGTATGATTTCTTGAGAAGGAAGAAGTAAAAATTATCATGTCTTATATGAGCAAGCTTGCTTCTAGTCCACTAATAATGCTAACATGATATAGGAGCCTGTTCTGTTTTCGGTCTCTGTTGGGGAAAATATTGCATATGGGCTTCCGGATGATAATGTTTCTAAAGAAGACGTTATCAAGGCAGCAAAAGCTGCAAATGCTCACGACTTCATACTTTCACTTCCACAGGTGCATTTTGTTTTCTAGACATGCAGATGCTTACTATAGGTAAGACCAAGTAATATTTGTGACACATTTTCTTTACTTCCTTTTTTGAAAGGGTTATGATACACTTGTTGGTGAGCGTGGAGGCCTATTAAGTGGGGGACAGAGGCAGGTATAGAGTATACATATAACATTCCTGCAGGCACAGGCTTTCACTGTCACATGCACGCACATATAACTGCTGTGTTTATATATGCAGAGAATTGCTATTGCTCGAGCACTCTTAAAGAACGCCCCAATTCTTATACTTGATGAGGTTCCCCCCTTTCCTTTTCATGCTTCTTTGCTTCTTTATGCAGTTTCCATGATTCAGCTACCGCTCTACCAGTAACTATGTGATCCTAAATATGCCCTTATTGATTTAATGTTTTATTCTTCAGGCCACCAGTGCCTTAGATGCTGTTAGTGAGAGATTGGTCCAGGATGCTCTCAACCATTTGATGAAGGGGAGGACAACATTAGTGATTGCTCACCGATTGAGCACAGTTCAAAATGCCCATCAAATTGCACTGTGCTCTGATGGCAAGATTGCAGAACTAGGAACACACTATGAGTTGTTGGCCAAGAAGGGCCAATATGCTTCACTGGTTGGTACTCAAAGGCTTGCATTTGAATGAATCATGAAATTCTTGATATTTCCGGTGATTCAAAGTTACCTAGCATTTGAGGCATGGAGGAGCTGGATGCTGTATTGGCACGGTGGTTCTTTGAACAGATGAAATTCTCTTCTTTACGTGCAGAGAGAATTATATTATGCGAAAGAAAATGTTGGCCGGTGACGTCTGCTGTCGGCAGAAAGATACATACTGGTTTGGTTGAGAATTGTTGCACTAAGATTCAGCTTGTTTACTTTTAGGGATGATTTGGTAGCTACAACTCAATGTAATACAGGCCTCATTTCAATATAATACAAGGCCTCATTTCAATACATCACCTATTCTGATTAGAAATATTGTTGCTTTATCATTGCAGTGTTAGTTTCACACCAAAAAATTGTCATTAAAAAAAAATGTTTACTGTTACTGTACAGTGTAGTTTATTGGCTCATTTGTAGCAAACTTTACATTATTGTAGTTCATTTGCCAATCTATAGCAGTTGAAATACCCCCCCTTTTGTGCTCATATGAATGTGTGCTTTATTGTGGAGCAACACAATTTCAATCTCAAAATAACAACTGAAGGGATAGGGAAAAGGTCATAACAATGGTCAAAATTTGTGGTGATGAGAAATTTAAGATGACTCAGAAATATTTATCACAGAATTGAGCTCTGCTAGGCACTCAGTGGGAAGGCCAAGGAAGGAATTCATCAAGAAATCATCAACAGGATCAACTGTTGCCGCACCAACAAGTTTGCACTTCCCTTCTTCATTCAGCCTTTTGCCTCTTCCACTTTTTATAGTCCCTTTGGATTCCTCAGATGTCAGCACTGTCTTCACTAGCAGAGGAGGAGCCTTGTAGAAACTCCCGGCAGAGAAGAAGAACTTGGCCTTGAATTCAAGGTCAACCTTTAAATCAAAAACAGGAAGAAAAGAAATATTAATTGCATGGTTATAGAATCAAATTGAAAGCATTGCTTGTCACAGAATAAGAAATTGAGCATTAACATATTGAAGTTGTAATTTATTATTTTTCAAAGATTTCTTGTTTATCACCTTGCCAGATTCCTTGTTGATTCTTCCTTGGAAGACTAGAGGGACTATATCAATATTCAGAAATGGTGGCAATGGCAAACCCAAGAACTTGGTAGTAGAACTTGTCAATGGTGGGATGTACAGCGTCTCAAGGTCAAATGAAACAAGCAGTTCATTATCAGCTAGGTTGTCTGCTACTTCAGCCCCAGATCCTGTTCCTTTTCCCCCTTCTGCATTATATGCAAAATCAGGATACCTTGAAATCCCAAGCCTGCAATCCCTCGCTGTTCTGAAACTAACAGTGTAACTCTTGGCCTCAGTGCTTGGGACTTCAAGGTTTGTACTAGAATATCTAATCTTTTGTAATTTGTGGCTGAAGGAGGAGGAGGACGAGGAGGAAGAAGAAGAGAAGAATACAGTTTTTGTTCTAAGCTCTGGTATGGTAGGGCGAAATTTGCATAGAACTGATGGGGCTGAGGGGTTTATTTTACAACCCATCTGGATTCTGTGATTATAATTTATTTGTTGCAGAAGGAATGGAAGAGAAATGTTGAGTTCTGAAAATATAATCTGTTGGGGAGGTTCATGTGGAAATACAAAAAGCAGAACTTCATAGCGAAATATGAGGTTGGGTTGTGTTCTGGCCGACTTTTGGGGCACAAATCTTATCTTGTTAAGTGAGAGATCCGACCTTGTGGAATCTGCAAGTGACGCTTGGCCGTGGAGCCGCCAAAACAAAACTCTGGGTCCCATTTCAGTTCAAGGTACTTGTATAATTTTCTCTTTCAGGATCAAAATTTACGTTTTGTGCTCTAAATTATAATTTATTTTTAGTCCCTTAATTTGAATATTGTTAGTCTCATTTAATAAAAAATACTGACTTAACAAATTTAAATGATGACTCCAAAAATAAGTGTTGCCAACGTATGCTTAAATTTTAGATTTTAATTCTTTACTATAATTATCTTTATGTTTTAAAATTTAATTATGTTTTTTCAGCATTTAATCTTAAGAGTCATCATTTAAATTTTTTGAGTCAACATGTTTGGTTAAATGAAACTTTAATATTTTCCGTTAAATGAATCTTTAAGGACTCAAAATACAATTTATAAATTTTATCAATTAAACTGAAACTTAATGTAAATTTCAATGAAGGGCTTGTTTGGTTTTTTTGTTTGTAGAATAATTTTTTTAAAAAAAACTTGTTTGATAAGTTTTTTTTAGTTGATTATTTTTTTAAAAAGAAAATCAATATATTTTTAAAAACTAAAAGAACCAAAACCATTTTTAGGTTTTTCTTTTTGCCAAAACAATTTTTAGATGTTTTCTTGCTTTTATTTTTGTATTTGTATTTTTTTTTGTTTTGAAAAATTGGGTATTTTTCTTTATTTTTTTTACCCACCGCCCAGCATGTATCAAAACCGGTGGTGATTTTTTTTTGTTTTGAATGTATTCTTTAAAATAATTATTCAAACATATTTTTTATTCTCAAAACTTATTCTAAAATATTTTTTTTATAAACTTGTTCTGGGAAAAAAGGGAAAAAAACTAAATATTTACTTTAGTCTTTTTCTTAATTTAGGTAGTTTGACTTCTCATATAGTTAATTAAAATGAGTATTATATTTGTAGTTAAGTTAAGGTTACTTTTATTTTTCATTGTAATAATATTAAATTTTTATAAAAGAAAATTCTATTTAGAGTGTTTAGAATAAATATGAGAGCGGTGTTATTGTTGTTCTAAAATCTAAGTGAGTATCAAAACTCCATGAATCAGAAGCAGAATTTTCTCAGAAAAATAAAGGACACGAATTTTATATTTTTTTTAAATAAACTTATTCTACTTAGGTTAGGTAAACCGGAAAATGACACAAAAGAAGATAAAAATTGCAATATTCAATTCAGACACTTAAAATTTTAAATCTCTAGAAAAGAAATAAACACAAATTGAAATTTTAAAATTCAAAAATGACAAAAATGCCCCTTATTATTATTTTTTCCCAAAAAAGTTTCAACTTCTCGCAAGAGACTTGCTAGCAGCTAGCCATCGACCTCCACGGACATCCCTCGGCCAGCCACCAATGCAGTGACTACCAGTGGAGAATTTCTTTTTTTTTTTTTTTTTTTGGGTTGTGGGAGGGTTTTTCTTTTGATGGGAGGGAATGTTTAAAAAAAGGATGGGGTCATGACTTTTTTTTTAAGTACCAAATTTTATGCAGGGGTTCGGGCTCAATCTAAATCAAAAGTAAGGCGCTTGTATAGCTCCTCTTAGCTAATATCAATATTGGACAAGGCGGACCTATATTATACCCTCAAACGTTAACTTGGACACTCTCATTCTAAGATGTCTCCCCAAACACCGTGACGGGAAATCGAACCCCCTCTTTTTTGAGTGAAAAGGTGTAGTTTCTACTGTTGAATCCACGAACAATGGGTAATGGGGTTAGAATTTGATCCCATCACTTTTGTTAGTATGGGCCAAAAAGATATGATCGTGTCTCATTATTAATATAATGCAATAAAAAAAACTATTTTACTTTGGTTCCATCTCATGATAATAATTCATCTGGGAATAATAAGTCCTAATCATTAAATGATAAGTTTGGATTTGGGATTAACAACATGTTTTTTTCTTATACATAAAATGTGAAATAACATATAAATCAATTAAAAATGACAATACTTCATCTATAAATAACAAGTCTTGATTGTGAAATAACAAATTTAGATTTAAGATTAACAACACATCTTTTCTTTATACATAACATGTAAAATAACATGTGAATTGATTAAAAATAATAATACTTCATCTGGGAATAACAAGCCTAAATTTTGAAATGACAAGTTTGGATTTGGGAGAAATAACATGATTTTTCTTGACACGTAACTTGTGAAATAACATGACAATAAATTAAAAAGGACAACAATTCATATAAAAATAAGTCCTAATTGTAAAATGACAAGTCTAAATTTGGGATTAACAATTCGTTTTTTTTCTTAATACATAACATGTCAATTAAAAATGACAATAATTCATATATGAATAACAAGTCTTGACTATGAAATGATAAGTCTGAATTTATTATTAACAATATGTATTTTTTTCTAATACATAACATGAGTTTGTGTTGTATTCATTATTGATACGTGATGATATTTTTCAAATGCATGTGAGAAAAGAATTGAAATATTATTTCTAATTTTTTTGCATACATATTCAATATTTTTAGGAAAAATTACAAATAGGTCCCAAAAAAATTTAATTATCTTAAATTTATTGACAAGTGAAGGGCAAGCAATGAAAAGTTTAGAAGTAGATAATGACAACTAGTTCAAACTGATTACTTGTTATTAGGACTTTCTGATAATTAAATTTCTTCTTTGAGACCTCTTAGAAATTCTTTCATATTTTTATATTAGGATACTTTAAAAAAAGCCAGTACTTCAAGCCATTTTGTTAGAAATTATATTTTGTTTGAAGATTGAGACATTAATCTTTCAATTCGTAATATTTTCTTTTAATGTACACAATTATATTTCATTAGAAGATATGTTTGATACGTTTTCAAAAATAAATATGATATTTATTTTCTAATGTCCTAAATTTTTTTAAGAATGCATCCCTTTACAAAAATTATGACAAATTATACTTAAGAAAAAATATAGAGATAATGTATAAGTAATGTCTAAGAATCCTAGCAATATTTTTTTTTCCCAAGTTCATTATAAACAAAACAAACTACTATTATGTAACAAGAAAATGGAAAAAGTGCTTAGAATTGACAACCCCCCAGCCGGGATGTTTGGACCTCCTGAAATTAGCTAGTAGGTGTCTTCTCTTTCCAAGCTCACGCTTGGCCCCTTATGTATTGGGAAAAAAAGTGCTTAGAATCCCTTGTTAATAAGTCGGCCGGTTCTAAAAAGGATCCAAAAAAGTTGATCATCCAGAACCTGCATATTATAAAAAGAAAACCATATTGGAGGTATCTGTATTTTTTTTTAATTTTTAATTTGGTATTTATGTGTTTTTTGTTCTTAACTAAATCTTTAATTTTGCTCAATTAACATCATTAATCCTTATGTAGAGACTAAAAATGCCAATAGAATAAAGTTATAAGAGCTAATGTCACTAAAAAAATAAAATTAAATGTTTAATTAAGAGGAAAAAACTCATAGGTACCAAATTAAAAATTGAGAGAAAGTAGAGGTACCTATGACATGGTTTCTGAAGAATTTGAACACAAGGCCAGCCTGTGGGCCTTCATTACATTTGATTAAATCATCAAATTCAATTTTTTTAAAAATATTTTGAAATATCAAAAAATAAAATAATAATATCATAAAATTTTTCATTCAAATAATAAATATTAATAAAATAAAGCATCAAGCTATTGTTCAAACTTACACAACTAATACAGATGAAACCTCAAACACTAATGGTGCATCAAAAATGAATTTAAACGCTAATAAATTACTGTCCAAACTTAATATGATTATTATCTTTATCTTCGTTACTATGATCAAGGAGAATAATATTTGATTATTTTTTTATTACAACTAGATTTTTTTTCAATGACAAAAATATCAAGTTCTCATTTTCATCGATATTGTCTAAAAAAAAACATGTAACTAATTACGGACTTAGGTTTTGTTTTTCTTTTTTAATCGGGAGGATTTCATAATATTAATCACACAATGAGTGATTAATAAATAATAGTAATAAGTTATTTTAATAATTTATTAAATTTTAATATTAAAAAATACAACAACAACAACAACAAGCCTTATCCCACTAGATGGGGTCGACTACATGAATCACACGACGCCATCGTGCTTTGTCAACAACCCAATCCTTAGATATGTTATTGACTAGGAGGTCTCTTTCAATGACCTCATTCAACGTTCTTCTCGGTCTTCCCCTGCCTCTTTTTATGGGACTCCATCTTGTTTGATCCACCCTCCTCATCGGGGCCTCTAAAGGCCTTCTCTGCACATGTCCAAACCATCTTAAGCGATTTTCAACCATTTTCTCTTGGATAGGTGCCACACCAACTCTTGTCCTGATCTTTTCATTTCGAATCCTATCTTTTCTTGTATGACCAAACATCCATCTCAACATCCTCATTTCTGCTACTCCGACTTTGTGCTCTTATTTTCCCTTTATTGCCCAACATTCACTATCATACATCATAGCTGGTCTTATAGCAGTCCGATAAAATTTTCCTTTAAGTTTCTCAGGTACCTTCTTATCACAAATAACTTCGGTAGCTTTCCTCCACTTTAACCAGCCAGCTTGTATTCTATGAGAAATGTCTCCATCAATTTCCCCATCCTCTTGTATAGTGGATCCTAAGTATTTAAACTTTGATACTTGAGGAATAATTTGTTCTCCCATCCTCACCTCCAAATCCCCATTACCTTGCCTCCCTCCAAAATCACAATGCATATATTCTGTTTTGTTCCTGCTCAAACGGAAACCTTTCGACTCCAAAGTCCTTCTCCATAACTCCAAACTAGTGTTAATCTCTTTTTTTGATTCTGCCATAAGGACAATATCATCCGTGAAGAGCATGGACTTAGGGATTCTTTCTTGAATAGGTTTAGTTAG